GTGGAAGGACGACCAGAACGAGGTTTGTCATCAATTGACATTTCACCATTTTTGAAACGGGAAAACCACTCAAACACTTGAGTTTTCCCCATAGCATTGTCCTTGTACGCTGTTTTTAACATTTCAAGAGTTTCTGTTCCACTTTTCCCGAGCAAAAAGCAGAATTTTACCGCCACACGCTGTTCACGAATATCAGCCATTGCAAAAACGACGATCACAAAAAACAGTTGTCACTATAAACTCTGCCGAAACTAGTCCTTACCTTCTGAAGCAACGGTAGTCGGCTTATCGACTCAGGAATGTTAGCTCTATGCACTCACAGCGGCAAAACGTGGTACTACAAAAGCTCTGCCCACAAAAAAATTAGTTCAGTTTCTTTTGGGTACCCCATCATACACAACGTCTTGAACTGTCATAATGTAGCAAAACACACCGAGTTTCATGCACATGGTACTGTAGTACCCAATACCGCTCCCACAGTTGAAATCAAGATGGCTACTTTCACAGGTGCAGAGCGTGCTTGTTATGTGTTTTGGTTCGAAGAAACGAAGTCTGCTACACAAGTTCAAAGGAAATTTCACACTCAGTATCGCAAGGAACCTCCCAGTAGGCCTACAATTTACTCCTGGCACAAGAATTTTGTTCAGACTGGATGTTCTGCGTGCCATGCTAAGCCACCCGGTCAGCCATGTGTTTCTGATGCTACAGTGAAGCAGATTAGGGAGAGCTTCATTCGAAGTGCGCAAAAGTCAAGGCGACGTACGTCTTGGGAAACTGGTATTCCAAATGTTACTGTGTTACAAAAAAGTTTACACTTAAAAGCGTACAAACTATCCATCGTTCAACACCTTACAGATGCAGATGAGGTGGTTTGTAAGGAGTTCTGTATGCAAATGTTTCATCGGATACAAGATGATGAGAAGTTTCTGGACTCCATAATTTTCAGTGATGAGAGCATGTTTCATGTCAGTGGTAAGGTCAATACCCACAACTGTAGGATCTGGGGCAGCGAAAATCCACGTGTCTCCCTGGAAAATGTTCGTGATAGCCCAAAGATGAACGTGTTTTGTGCCCTCAGCAAAGAAAGAGTGTATGGCCCCTTCTTCTTCATGGAGACGACCATTACCAGTATCATATATCTGGCATGCTCCAAGAGCTTCTCATCCCACAGTTATACGAAGATGACCAAGAAGGACACATTCATTTCCAGCAAGACGGCGCACCCCCTCATTACCTTGGAGAAGTGCACGAGTACCTCAACACCCGTTTACCAAGTCGGTGGACCGGTAGAGCAGCGCCGATAGCATGGCCACCTCGTTCCCCGGATCTTACTCCCCTGGATTTTTTCTTATGGGGATTTGTTTAAGATCGAGTGTTCGTACCACCTTTGCCTGCAAATGCCGTTGAGCTCCGAACTCGAATTACTGCCTCAGTTGCAGAAGTGACACCAGAGATGCTACGTAGCTTGTGGCAAGAGACTGACTACAGGTGGGACGTCTGCCGCATTACCAATGGAAGTCACATTGAACCATAACTGTCCGAGGTAAAAGTCAGTGTGTTTTGCTACATTAAGACAGTTCAAAACGTTGTGTATGTCCTCTGAATAAATTTACATAAGCTTTTGAAGTTGTAAAGCTCTTCTTGAAACACCTTGTATTATGGACTCAGAAACATAAAGGCTAATAGCAGGAACCTGTGAAACTTGGCTGTAGATAACATTCTCAAGATAAAAGACTACAAGAATGGCATACAAAAACAGAAAATGATAAAATGTTTAACATATTACTGAAATAAGATCTTTCATAATGTATAACTATTTCCAAATGCCATCTTATTACCAGTAAGTACATATAATCTGTACAGACATGATTCTAAATCAAATTTAAATCACCACATGATACAGAAGAAAGTGACAATGTCAAATATAAAATCCTTAACATAGTATGCATCTTCACATAACAGAATGATGTTTGCCACTGTTAAGCTGCCACATTAAGACAACACTACATAAATTCAGATGCAAAAAGGTCTTTTATGTTTTGAAAATGGTATGATATCAGATCACATTTCAGCTAGATTTCCCAAAATCTTCAATAATATTTGCAAACAGCTTCTTTTTGCGGAATTCCTTTCCTTGCAAATCTTTCCATTCATCTTGTCGATGCTTATAAAGTGACAGGCAGTATTTACTGGCTAGAATGCTGCCGTACTGGTTACTATTCAAGACTGGTTCTTTAGGGGAGAGTTCATCCATGATTAGAAACTTCTGTTTCAGACTTGCCACATCCCAGATTGCATCCACACTGCGTGATCCATGTTTTGTGCAAGCCACTACCACATACAGTCCCTGTTGAGAGAAAGAATTGTATTAATTTCCTTCCTAGGAAAGTACAAATATATGCTACTCACATTCTGTGATTGCATCCCCAGGATTATTGGTCTGAACCCACATAATTCCATCTCTACTATAACAATGAGAATTAGTTTAATATGAGTATTCCCAATATCCCGATATGCAGGCCTACAGCATGATGCATTTGTGTCACAAGACTTTTAAAACTTTTCACAAAAAGTCTTGTGTATCATCATTAAAAATAGGATGCTAACTATGTTCTAAAATGCAAACTACAATTTCTAACACTTACTTACTTACTCATGGAGCTGAGCCCTTCTGGAGGAGCCGCCAATTCTGCAGCTACTCAAGAATTTCCCAGCATTTTATGGAACCCAAAAGTTCATTACCGTGTTCACAAGAGCCCTACACTGGTCCCTATCCTGAGCCAGATCAATCCAACCCATACCATCCCATCCTATCTAAGATCCATTTTACATTTCCAACACAACAATTTGTAAATTCATTAAGGCACACATTTATTTAACATACTGTGTTGTTATGTCGACTATCAGCTGTGGTTCACAAATATCCATATCCTAAGGGGAATCAAATGTACCAGGGAAGACCATGTCAGTTATCAAGATCAGGTGACCTGTGATCCAGCATCATATTTCAATACAGTAAATAAAACAATCATGGATTTCTCTCATCAATTATCAGGTGAATCTCAAAGAGAGGTAAGTTAATGCAGCATTTGTCTTTTTAATTTCCAGCATCACACCAACTATTCATAATGCATTTATCAGACAAAATTTCCACTCACATGGGAACTAAATTATTTGGAATTACCACTGGTAATCAAACATTAACACTTATGCGAGATGCACAAATAATATAATAATAATAATAATAAGTCAGTTAAATTATCAGAGTGTTTGCCAATGGGGAAAGCCTATAGGCAAGCATTTAAAATAAGAATACAACAAAGACAGAAACACAAAATGAGAGAAAACATAAATAATATGGTAGTCTAAACAGATTTATGCATAAGAATGTTATCCTCTGAGGAAACTGTGTTCCTTCTGAAAATAAGAAATTTACATACACTACTAGTACTGCTGGCATATCTGGATGAAGGAATTATCTTACAGCATTGCTTATCCATGACAGAGTGACACTTCACTTTCCCCTTCAAACCATCAAGACAAAATAAAACATGAAGTGTTTCCAGCAACAAGTCTCAATTGTGAGAAAAGGTGGACTGATAAAAGTGATTATAATGTAAATTTCATTTTTTTTTTATATTTTTCAAGCTACTGGAATCTGCCCATGTAAGATTCTTCCAAGAAACTAATGCAAGCTTTGACCAAATTACAGTAATGAATAAATGAGACAAAATTAACATACTGCTAAAAATACAGTTTACTGTCAAGTAAAATAATGAGATCTTACGTGCAGTTAATATGCAAAATTAAAACACAACCAGCTGAAATGGAGTCAATACTAATAGATTTACAAGTAAAAGAAATAACATTAGTCTCCTGAACTTTGAGATTCATGTTGTTGTTATCACAGAAGTAGTAGTGGTGGTGGTGTGTAGTCTTTTATCTTATTTTATTTATTTGCTACTTTATTATAACATAAACTTGAGGCAAGAGTTTTATGTCAGTACATAACACGATGTGTTGCACTGATAAGGATCCACATCAGTATTTTTCAATGACTACGTATTCCCGTGTACAACTTCCTGATGATGGTCTTATGTGACGAAACATGTAGAAGTATAAGATCGAAAACAAAAACTGTATTTGTTGTGCTGATGGTGACATTATTCTTATATATATATATTTCTTGAGGTCCATGAATAGTCTGTGCAATGTCTCATTGTACTCCCATTTTTTCCTCCATTGTACCTGATCAGTTACATTGCAAGTCAAAACCCACAATGATCGTCCCCAATAATTTCCTCTACATATGGACTTGAACATTTGACAGAAGAATATTGGATAAAATTTCATACAAAGTCGGTAACAGTGACATGCCACAATAATTACATTTGTACCGCCCTTCTTATACACTGGTAAAATAACAGCCTCCTTCCACTCCTGAGGCAACCTCTGCATTAGCAATTTCAACTTCAAAATGACTAGGATCAGATGTATTTCCATCTGCCTAACACTAACCCTATAAACACTCAACAGCTTAGAAAAGTAATTCTTCCACCCTCTTAAAGTTGTCAGAACCTGCAAGCAGATTAACATTCTCGCCCTTTAACATGTTAGCTTTAGGCTGGTAATCCTTGAATTAATTTATCCCTCTATATAAGTTTCTAGTGTTCTTGTTCTTACTGTGTGTTGAATGCTCATTAATGTTGTTTTTACATTTTTTTTCCTGAAGTGTCAATTAGCTTCACATTTTTCACTGTTCAGATTATCTCCATTTATTTGGCTCAGGTCCTGTAACTACCGCAATTTGGCTTGTTTCCTTTCATCTATCAGTTCTGAACATCCTTCATCAAAAGATGGCTTAGGGTGCTTCAAGTCATAATATCCTAAACTCTCTTTGGCTGAAATTTTTATATTCTGTCAAACAGTTTCCCAAGCTTTACTGACATTCACATCATCATCTAAATTTCCCAAAGCTATGAACCAGTTTCATAGTTTAACCTGGCACTGTTCTTCACCTTCTGCCTCATTTAGTTCCTTGAGACTGAATCTACACCAATCTTTTGTGTTGCTCTTTCACTTTCCCTAACTTCTGCAATCAGGAGATGGTGATTAGAATTACAGTCTGCTATCACGGAAGACTGGACATCAAGTGCATTTAAATGCCATCTCCCATCAAAATGTTGTCAACCTGACTGTGTGTCTTTCCATCAGAACATGTCCAAGCGAATTTATGTATGTTGCAAGGTAAGAACATTGTACTCATGATAATCAGATTTTCAGATATAGTAAAGTTTACCGCTCCAACTCCATTATCATTATTAATTTCATGTAAACTCTCATTCCCAATTGTTTGTTTGAAAATATCTTCTCTACCTACTTTGGCAATGACTTAGGGAATTGACAGAATACACTTGACTAACAAACTTGACCCTTTTAACTGCTGACATGATTCTTTTAAGTACAGAGAACTGCCTCTAATTCACAATCCCCATTCCAATTTCCAGAGAAAAATGTATAATCATCCACTGGTTCAGTGCCACCCTTGTCCCATCTAGTACAAAAAAGACAAACAGGTCACATAGTTACACATAATTAACATTTTGGGCATGATTATTTGTATTCATTCCACACTACCTTCCTTTCAACCTATCAGAGACAGAAGGATGCTTTTGCTTACCCATCATCTCCATGATGTGACAATATGCAGTTCACCACAAATAAGGCCATGATAAATGTATGGTAACTGAAGTCTATAAACAACCCTATTCTAGATAATATGCCAGAGCCTGTAAGCAGTTGCCTCAGTTTTACCCTATGACTGCCAAGCGGCACCATACAACTACCTGCCAGAAATGTCACGGCTGTTTGGAGTAAATGCTCAGGAAAACAAAAACCCACAATACTTCCTCAGATTACCTTCAATATTTAACAGACTTAGAAGACATAAAAGTCTCCTCCTTCCTCTAAGTATCTGTGTATAGCAATCGATGTATCTACTGACAAATGGTTATTAACATTAAGCTAATCTCTCTAGCTCTGACAACCGACACAAGTATGCAGAGCTGACCTAGTCAGCTCATGGTATGAAAAAGGGCTGAAGAGAGTACAGGTGTAGACAAACCCTTCCTCCACAAAAGCACTGCTCTGATCGCCCAAACAGGGTGTGGAAATAAAACTGCACATATTACTGGCCAAACTGCTACGTGGAGGTGAGTGATCAAACCATCAAATTTCATCCACTTTTACCCCTTTGGGGAATGAGGGAGAGAGGATACCATGACCATCCAGTCTGTAATCTCTTACTTCACTATGGATTTTGTGGCTCATTTAACAGAGAGCATCTCACAAATTAAGCAGTTTAATTATACTCTGATAGATAAGCTGATGCTCAAAGGAGATATGAAGACTTGTTAAGTAACCAGTCACCCCACCTGTTTCTTACTGGTGGTCCCTGTGAAAGCACCAGTTAAGTCTTGCTAAGGGTGGTAGTGTTCTGGGGTAAAATGTTAGTTACCATGCTGAGGCCTGAATGGCACTGAGAGAGAGAGCAGTGTAATGAACAGTGCCTTTGGGATACAAGGTGACCTCCCATTGTATCAAGCCTTCCACTTGCATGCATTGCTCTATGGAGGATGACATTAGATTTTCCTAGTTAAATGTGTCAGATGGAGCTATTGCAGTGGTCCCTGATGATTTTCAGCAACCACCTGGCTCTAGAGGAGACATAACCAAAGATCCCTTTGAAGAGGTCCCTGGATCCTCTCACCATGCATTTGGGGAGCTGAGCTGCTGTAGGGGTCTTTGGATGTCTAGGTACCTACTGTCCTTTGACAGGAACACAACAGGCAACAGGACTGCTGATTGGCCACTGCACACTGAGACTGCATCTATATGTTACAGACTCTGAAAATCACCATGTCTCTCTGAAGGGATTAGCAAGACTGGGGGTGGTCTAAGTACCTGGGGAACTAAGCTGGGCCTCCCATAACATAACATAACATTGCATTCCATTCCATGGATCCAAAGTTAGTCAAAATGACTGTAGGCTGTGGAATATGTCATATGAATACAAAACATATGTACAGTCCGAATGGAGTTCTCACACAAGAGAAACCAAGAATACACAGTGATTATACACAAGGCTATTTAAAGATACATAAGTTATTTTCTAGACAATAGGTATTCATCAACAGAGTAGAATGAATGTGTATTTAAGTATCGTTTCAGTGCTATTTTAAATCATGCTTTTTCATTTATAAGACCTTTGAGATCAAATGGCAGATTATTAAAAATTTTGATCCCAGCATAATATGCGCTTTTCTAAAAGCATGAGAGGTTAGCAAC